AAGTCTGAAGAGACAGTCCGCAGGCAGAGTAGGCCTTATATTTATACCTCTGTGGTGGAACCTGCTAGAACATCTTGCTTGCTCAGCCTAGTCAGGTGATCAGGTCATATGATCAAGGATGAGGTCATATGAGGTCATGCACAGCCATGCACAGCAGGTCACCTGACCATCCAATCCTTCCAGCAGGTTCCAGCACATGCCAAGGTATACCAAGCTACTTCCATGTCATAAAGGCTTAGTCATGTCTCTTGACCAAGCAATGAGCTGGTGCCCTGACAATGGCACAGATTGAGACAGAGAGGACTGACTGAGGGAGGAGGATGTGGTTGTCAAGCACACCATAACCTTTTTGTAGGTTATGGTGGTGATGGAGCAAGGCAGGTATTACAGATTATATATAGAATAGTCAATAATACATCTCACATCTACAATATATGTATATATATATACCAATGGCAAGGGTGATGACAATGATGAAAGAGCCCACAGAAATGTGCTGGAAAGCCAATTGTATAATGTGTGGATTGCCATGGCCATGATGGAGCACCATTCAAACACCATGCCAGCTGCAATAGGATGTCTGCTTGAGGGACAAGGATAGTCAATATTGGTGGAACATTGGTGGCTCAGGGTGCCGTTTCATCGATGGTGACCAGAATGCCGGTTGGAGACGGTGTGGAGACACCAGCTATATCACAGGGCGGCTCCGCCCCTGACCGGGGACTGCGGTGTATGTACAGTTTCAAATGGAAGCAATGAAGGGGTCACGCGATTGGCTGTTATGGGCGCCGCCTCCGCACCGAACGGGTGCGCTGCTTAAGATGGCTGGATGATTCAGCAGGCGCTCAACAATCCAGTGCTTCGAAGAATGTCGTCACTTAGACACCGATATAAAGGCCTCCGAGATGGCTGTCATAGATCCGCCCTTAAGAACAAAAGAGCGCAGCTCAATCGTACTTGGCCTGCCATAAACTAATCTACCTCAACCATGTTCCAGTGGCTTATCGATTTCTATATTCAGCTGCGGGAAATCTATCCGCCCAGACCAAAGTTCACCGTTGATGATATTCCGGATCAAACAGGCAAGGTCGCCATCGTCACCGGTGGGTACAGCGGTATTGGGAAACTGATCGTCAAGGTATGATTAACTTCTCTTTTATATCATTCATCGCGTTCTTACGTTGAATTTGTTCAGTATCTGCTTCGCAAAAATGCCACAGTGTATGTTGCTGGTCGTTCCCGAACCAAGGGAGAAGAGGCTGTTGAAGAATTGAAGAAAGAGACTGGGAATGACAAAGTGCATTTCATGCTGATGGATCTCGGTGATCTGGAGAGCATAAAGCACGCGGTAGAAGAGTTCCGTCAGAAGGGGGAGAGGCTGGATCAACTATACAACAATGCGTATGCCCAAACTTTTACTGAAGCTTAAACGTCGTTGACGGTAGTTCTCTCGTAGGGGTGTCATGATTCCTCCTGTTGACCAGGTCACACAGCAGGGGTACGATCTTACTTGGGGCACCAATCTAATCGGCAATGGCTACGTCACAATACTTTTCCTTCCCATTCTTCTTGCCTCTGCGAAGACCGTGCCGGACGGCAAGGTGCGAGTGATCAACACTTCCTCCAAGTGAGTCCAGACATTCCATTTGTTAAGAGTTACACTAATGCGACGGCTATCAGTGCACATTGGTTTGCTCCTAAGGGTGGTATCGACTGGGACTGGGTCGAGGGCAAGAAGCCAGCCGACTCAAAAACATCTCCACCGCCGGCCGCCTACGACCGCTATTCCATGTCCAAATGGGCGGTCATTGAATTTTCCTTTGAGCTCGCCAAACGTTACGGCTCCCAGGGGATTGTCAGCCTCGTCCAGAACCCAGGAAGTGTGATCACCCCAGTGAACAGGCATACACCCGCCTTCATGCGTTGGATGCTCGAGCATCTCGTCCAGTGGAAGGCCGATCCGTACGGTGCGCTGGCCCCGCTTTGGGCTGGCACGGCTCCCGAGACTGCCGAGTTGAACGGGAAGTTCTTATCCCCTTGGGGAAGGGTCGGAACCCCTAGATCGGATGTCTGGGACGAGAATACGTGGAAGAAGGTGTACGATCATATCGAGGAAGAAGGCAACAGGGTCGCCTGAGATCTGCGAGAGGTCTCGTGCATCGGAATGACGTGTCCAGTTTGCATTAGTGAAAACTCACATATTAATATTGTGTCCTCACTCCATGTTATTATCAACCTTTCCATCGTCCTGGCCGAACGGCTTGACAATGTTGAGTACCACCTTCTCGATTTGTCATCCACATCGAGGTTGCTTCTCTCCGAATTTATGCACTTTGATGCGCAGTTCCTCATCTTCCAGCTCGTTGCAGGTTTGGCGGTTCAAATCTATGAGGCAGAGAACAACCAGACATTAATGCCAAAACAGACACGGTTTGGTGCAGACATCGCCGTTATGAATGGAATCGTTCGTTGACTGCGTGACAGTCGGCCTTCCTCTGACCGGTGCATGCGCTTCCAGGTGAGAAGCGCGTTCGACACGTCTCCGGGTATCTCTTCGAATACCAGCTCCCATCACCAACACAACCAGCAGCATGTTCGAATGCATCACTAATCTCTGGTACGTACTGTGCGAGATCAACCCGCCTGCACCGAAATGGTTGGTGGATGATGTGTCGGATCAGACGGGCAAGGTCGCTCTCATCACAGGCGGTTACTCGGGGATAGGCAAACTTGTCGCCAAAGTGTGTTCCTTGCTTATCTTGTCTGCGCCTCATCGCTGATCTCATGCAATTCACAGTATCTCCTAAAGAAAAACGCAACTGTTTACATCGTGGGTCGCTCTGAAGAGCAAGGGTGCGGTCAACGAACTGAAAGAACTCACGGGGAACGACAAGGTCCACTTCCTCTTGGTCGATCTGAGCGATCTTGAAAGCGTGAAGCAAGCTGCGGTGAAGTTTCGTGCGACTGGAGAGAGGCTTGATCAGTTATACAACAACGCGTGCGTCTAATTGTTTGCTGCGTTGCTGGCAGGTACTGACGACAAGGATGGGATATAGAGGCGTGTATCTCGCTCCGATGGATCAGCTCACGAAGCAGGGATACGACCTCGCGTTCGGGACGAACACATTCGCTCATGCATGCCTGACGATGCTCCTCTTGCCTGTCCTTGTCTCCTCTGCCAAGACCGCACCGGACGGTCAGGTGCGGGTTATCAATGTTTCGTCTAGGTAACCACACCTCTTCCATCTCTGCCACATCTGCATCAATCGTTGATATCCACGCCAGCGCACAATGGTTCGCTCCTCGCGGGGGAGTCGATTGGCGAACAATCCCCGGCACCGCTCCTGAACGAGCAAAGCGCCTGACACCTTTCCTGGCATACGCTCAATCGAAGCGGGCGCAGATCGCATTCTCCAATGAACTGGCAAAGCGGTACAGGAAGGACGGGATTGTGAGCATCGCTCTTCATCCGGGGAGCGTGCCGAGTGGGCTACCAAGGCGGGCGACACCCTGGCAGCGCTGGGGGTTGGAGACATTCATCTTGCAAAAAGAGGCGGATCCTCTGGGGGCGCTCACTCCTCTGTATGCGGGGACAAGTGTTGAGGCGGGAGCGATGGGAGGTGAATACTTGGGCCCGTGGGCGAGAGTGTGGAGAGCGAGACAGGACTTGGAGGATGAGCGTGCGTGGGTGAAGGTGTGGACGTATTGTGAGGCAGTGGTGAAGGAATTCGTGTGAGGCAGGAACTGAAGGTCGGTGCATTCTATTTCCCGCCATGATTGTATCTCCTGCTGAAGTTGGAACCCTCTCAATCTAGCGTCACTGCTCCTTCCCTCGCTCCTTCTCCGCACGTTTCCTCTTCCCGAACTCATCTGCAATGATCGCCATCTCCAAAATATCGACCCAACCTCCGTCTTCCCAGAGCGCCGCCCTCCTCCTCCCTTCCAGCACAAACCCGACCTTCTCATACAGACGCTTCCCCCCCTCGTTACTCGCCTTCACATTTAGGCTCAGCCTGTGCAGCCCCAGCTGATCGAATGCGTGCGGTATGAGCCAGCGGAGGAGCTCGGTGCCCAGTCCCAAGCCCTGCCATTCTGGGGAAAACATCATCCCCAGCTGGGCATCTCGGTTCTTAGGGTTTTCCAGACGCAGCGAGACGACCCCAACTGGGAGCGACGCGCTCGTCCGCCCGTTGTGTTTCTCTGCCTCCCCCTCCCCCTGTTGTTCTGGAGTAGGATCCCATGCGACCCCTTCGCCCTCCCCTAACTTCTTCGCCAACCCCGAGAACTCTCCCTTTACCTCTATCATGCCAGCAAAAAGTGCTCCCTCGACCCACTTCCGTTCGATCTCCCACGTATTAAGCGCCGGAGGGACGACATGCCCGAACATACTAGACCGGATGACGCATTCCTGACCGCGGAGATGAAGATAAAAGGCGGCATCGGTTTCGTGAAAGGCGCGGATTTGCAAACGAGCGGTGGTGGTGAAGGGTGGTGCGACAGGAGTTGTCATGCTGGGTGCGTATTTGCAAGAGTAAGAAGTGAAAACGGGTATGGATAGGATCTTGGAGTATTTGGAGTATTTAATAGGGCTGCGACAACTTCGTCATTGTCGCACGTCGCAACCGATCGTGACTGACTGATCCATGACCGAGTCGTCCATATGGACGCGCTGGACGAATATCAGTTCTTAGATGAAGACCTCATGATATTTGTTTGTCTGCTCCTAAATATGTATTTGGAGAACATTGAACGATCCCCAGCCTTTGTCAATGGAAGGACGGATACTTAATTAGGAAATTGCTATGGGGTTGAACCGGTCCCGGTTTCGGACATGAGACATGTGAAATTGAACAATGCACTGGGTGCATGTGACCAATATATAGACCACCTTACGGTAATTATCTATCTATATCCACGTGTGTGTAGCTTTGTGCGATGTCTGCGCCGTTTGCTGGAGGCCTAGAGACTGAGCATGACGTCGACGACTTTAGCAGGCTTGAAGTCAGGCCAATACTTATTGACCTCTTCTGGGGTGCCTGTCTGTCCTTCGCCCCTCTCCCATTCCAGGTGTAGGAGCCTGATAAGCCCATTCTCGTAATCATGAGGATGCTCTTTGACTTGCTTCTCCAAGAACTCCTTCGATTCGTAAGTGACCTCGAGCTTCCTTCCGCTGCGTGCTTGGTACTCCTCGAGGATCTGGTTGATGGTCTTCCGCTCTCCCTCGATGGCAAACGGCTTATTCCTCTGCTCCGTAGGAGACACGTGGGTGAGCACGTAAACCATGTAGCGGGCGATGTCCGGACTGGATGTCCATGAGATTGGCACATTTCCAGATCCTCCAACCACTGCCTTGCCATTGGGGAGGTCGAACCCCCATTCGGGGCGTCCGTCGAAGAACCAGTCGGAGACTGGACCGGTGAAGAACTGCGAGTGGGGCAGGTCCAACGAAAGGAGGTGCTCCCGGACACGATTCTTTACTGCGAAGATCCCGTAGGTTTTGCCGTCGGACCGATTACCATATTCGGAGAGGACGAAGTGTTTGACGCCAGCCGCTTTGGCAGCATCCGCAAGGGGGATCTGGGCGAGGAGGGCACCCCCTGATATGGCGGAGATCACTACATCGATGTCCTGCAGAGCAGTAACCAGGCTGGCGGGATCCGAATAGTCAACTGTCTTGAACACGATTCCCTGTGCTTTCAAGTCGTCGTATCCGATGCTCTACGTACGAAGGTATGAGATGCGGCACGACCATGGGTGGAACGGCACTAACCGACCGAGTAAGTGCGACAACATTCGTAACACTCCCACCCGTAACATGACGGACGAGCTCCTCGAGAATGAATCGCCCGATATCTCCAGCACCAGCAACAGCAAAGGACTTGAACCCCGACATCGGTAAGAGGTTGGCGATAAAAGTTTGTAAAGATGGTTGTAGAGCTGATGCTTACTTGTTGAAGGGAAGTATGGGACTTTTATATGTCTAGAAGGCCTACCTTTCGTCCTCTGGAGACGTGGAACAACAGAAGCCAGAACATCACGGTAAAATGCCAGAGTGGTGGTCCGGATGACAAATGCCATCATTGGTCAGCAACGCCAAGTGCGGCAGTTAGAAGAGCGAGTGCTCCACGATGCCCGCATTCGTAGGAACTCTAAGAAAGACATCGGTGATAGTCTACAAACCAAATCGTGAGATTTTAGGTTGGTCAGCAGCATCGAGGGAAGGTTATGGCAGTAGAACTAGAACAAATAAGAAGATGTCCAATTTCAGGGCTCTGAGCGTATTTGTAAGCCAAGCACAGGATAAGCAGGCTCGTGTGCAACGAAGCACTTTGAAGTGGGGGAAGTTTCGCCTGTGTTGTTTGGGGCAACATAACAGGACAGATCCGTCCGGTCTAGAATCGCAGCCAACGCTGAAAGGAACGTCCAGAACAGTATTATCTGCCGGACGGATGCCTTCGTGTTCCGGCGCCTCTGGGAATAGTTTGAGTCTTCTGATGCGGATGAAGACGCGTCCCGCACATTCGCCTCAATTCAGCTCGTATTTGCAGTCCATCTATGTCATCGTTGGAACCCGTGGATAATTTGATCGCGATGATACAGATGATATCGCGCCCTTGGAATAGACAAGACGAGGTTCAGCAAACGACTATGATGGTGGGGGAGGAAGGAGGCGCGACAGACGCGACGCGCGAAAACAACCACGTCATGGTAACTGTCCCTCATTTATTGTATACATCCACAAAATGAGTTTAGATCTTCCAATCCATAGGATGATCGAACGCTTGCGACCGGTATATCAGTCAGACTCAGAGGCGTTTATCAAAAGGGACGCAGACTTCTCATGCCGTGCGAATTGACGGCGCCATGCAAGGGTAACTTCGAAGTTTGTCACTCAAAACCGCATATATATGCAGCTACTTCTAAACAAGCTCTTTGTGTTTGTCATTCATGTTATCGCCGATTCAAGTTGGAACTCTAGAGCCTGAGGATGACGTCGACCACCTTGGCGGGCCTAAATTCAGGCCAATACTTGTTCACCTCCTCTGGCGTTCCGGTCTGTCCCTGGCCATTTTCCCATTCCAAGAACAGACGTCTAATGACACCATTCTCGAAGTCATCAGGGTGCTCCTCGACCTGCTTCTCCAAGAACTCCTTTGATTCGTAGGTGATGTCAAGCTTCTTGCCGGTGCGAGTTTGGTACTCTTCCAAGACTTGATTGATCGTCTTCCTATCGCCCTCCATCGCAAACCGCGTGTTCTTCTGTTCCGCCGGAGAGAGGTGGGTGAGGATATAAACGATGTAGCGGGCGATATCGGGACTAGACGTCCACGAGATCGGCGCATTCCCGGAACCGCGCACCACTGCCTTGCCGTTGGGGAGGTCGAAAGCCCACTCAGGACGTCCGTCGAAGAACCAATCGGCGAACGCACCCGTGAAGAACTGCGAATAGGGGAGGTCGAGCGCCAGGAGATGCTCGCGGACACGGTTCTTCAATCCAAAGATGCCTTCGGTCTTGCCAATAGTGGGGTTGCCATACTCAAAGAGGACGAAGTGCTTGATGCCAGCTGCCTTAGCCGCATCTGCCAAGGAGATTTGGGCAAGGAGGCCACCCCCTGAAATGGCGGAGATCACCACATCGATGCCTTGCAGGGAAGCGAGGAGACCTGCAGGATCCGAGTAGTCGATTGTTTTGAAGACAATTCCCTGTGCCTTCAAATCTTCGTAGCCGACGCTCTTTCTCGGTGTGTGAGACGGACTGCTAGAAGAGGCGCGAAGGCACTCACCGAGCGAGTAAGGGCGACGACACTGGTCACAGTTTCATCCGGAATATGACGGACGAGCTCCTCGAGAATAAAGCGGCCAATATCTCCCGCACCGACAACAGCGAAGGTTTTGAATCCAGACATCAAGAAGAGGGTGTTGGCAAGAGCTTGTGAGATGGCTGTTGAACTGGGATTTGTTTTTGGTATGAAAGTCTGAATCCTGTAGTAGGCAGCTTTTATACGTCTGGAAGACCTGCAACATCATCTTTTTGAGCTTTCAGACAACGGCAGCCAGAACATCACGATAGAATGTCAGAGTGGTGACGAGATGACAAATGTCAACATTGGTCAGCCATCGTTGCTGCTAGAGCTCATGCTCCACGATGTCGACACTCGGAGACCAAGAAGAAGGACATCGGCGATAGGAGCCAAACTTGATAGCGGGTTTTCAGGTTGGTCAGCAACATCAAGTGAAAGTCCACGGGCAGACGCGTACGTTGCGAAGGCGGTTGCAGCGGTGCAGAGCATGTTTGTAAGCAAACACGTGATTAGTATGCTTGGTCAGCCGAACGAAGTACATTCTGGTCGTGAAAAAGTGTTGAATCTGCTGAATTTGCTATCGGAGACGATGGGAAAGTTTCCTTCTATCGTCTCGCCCGCTACATCAATGGCCGGTGTAGAAAGAAGATTTGTGATGGGGATTGCAATTTTTTCTCGGACAATGCCGGAGACCTTCCAAGATAAGTACCCAGAACAATGGATGATATGCATATCTGTGACAAGTGCCATACTTTACCATGACCATATCTGAGATTTCATCCACCTCATATCAGTCTCATGACAGACTGTACAATCACGTCGTCAAAAGCTGCGAGATCAAGCGGCCTCCGTCTGACAGCCTCCCACTCCCGGTCAAGTATGCCCATCACAACGAGGTCGATCCATTCATTGTCGTGCAGCACAGCTTCTCTCATCGTTCCTTCCAGCACGAACCCACTTTGTGTACGTGAGCCCAATCTCAGCACAACAGAAGAGCGCAGAACGCACAGATGCTTGTATAGTTCCACAGCTCTCTCGTTATCTCCAAACGCGTGCAACGTCAACCGATGCATTCCCAGCTTGTCAAAGTTGTATCGCATAAGCCACGTCAGGACCTCCGTCCCCAGACCGAGGCTCCACCACGCAAAAGCGAGTGCGATGCTAAACTCGGTATCGCGGTTCTTCGGCTCCGGCAGCACAAGCGAAACGAAGCCAACGATCTTGCGCTTCTCGCGTTTTTCGCCTTCGCTATCCCGCTCGTCCTCTATTTCTTCTGGGTCTGATCGACGCATGTACATGAACTCAGGCTTGATCTCCAGCACGAGGAGAAGCAACATCCTGTTCAGCGCGGCAAGGATGCTCTCCCACCTCGCCTCCGGCCAGGGGACGGGATAGCCAAGCACGATCCCATGAGCAACACGTTGGTCATTGTAGAGACTGAAGAAGCTGGCGGCGTCCGACGGGCGCCAAGGACGGAGGATGAGGTGCTCGGTCGTTGCGAAAGGTATCATGTTGCGGGTTGGTTGGAAGTGTAAAGCTGCAAGCCAAGTGAGCTGCGTGCTCGGTGCACAGCCCGATTCCAGATCAGATAATCGGATTCGGTCGAATTCCAGGGGCTTCATCCTGCGATGTCACCAAATATAGGTAGGAAGCATGATACGTCTTCAAAGTTGTACCATGAGTTGGTTGCTCGGCCATTTTGTGTGAATAGTGATTTATCCACTATTTCTTCATGGTTCTGTGGTCTCGTTCTTCATAAGTCGTCGGAGATTTGAGGAAAGGGATGTGACAAGTATTTGATACATCAAAATTCCAAGCTAATCCCTGCCCGATTATTCGATTCGTCTAGAATTGGATGCCCGATACTTCCCATGACTTGAATGTCAAGAGCCAATCACAGCTCGACGGTGCTGTACGCGCCGCGGATTCATGGGAAGTATATAAAGAAGAAAACTGTACAGTTTATGACCATTCTTGGAAGCACCGCCACCAGGGACAACGGGTGCTTCCACTATCTGCACGGAGATGCCGTCCACTTGTCGAAGAACTGTATGTCCAAACAAGCGCTGGTTACCAGAGGAACTATAAGTTCCTGTTTATGCATACCGTGGCGCACGCGTAATCTGTTCTTTCTGCTTCCTACTCGACGGTGGCGTTCGCATGGGTCGTCGGAAACATGGACATTTCTCCTTGATCGGCAGTTCCAGGGTGCTCATCATGGCCGCCTATATAAGCGTCGTACTGATGGACCTGTCAAATCTCCCAGCACATTTTTCCGGACGCGCTGCCGATATTCAGCGCGCCCATTTTCTTCACACCAAAGGAAGCTGAAGTGCGCGGTACTATGTCTTCCCCCGACCTGATTGCTCCTCGGCTCTCTCGCACTCCTACTCTTGTCGACCAGAATGAGGAGAGGAGTCTTGATGCTCTCACTCTCTCCACCCCACCAAAGAAGGCAGAGGCTGTCGTCACCGAGAGCAGCGAGTCAGAAGAGAACGTGACGTTCAAGAAAGACTTCGGCTTCTGGATGATCATCCTTTCTCTCTGTGTCACATCGATCTTGGCTGCTCTTGATCTGGTATGTTTCCACCCTCTCATTGCTATTTTGCGCGGGTGGCTAAGATGTTTTATAGACGGCCGTGTCCACTGCTCTCCCCACGATCGTCGACGACCTGCATGGGGGGTCCGACTTTGTCTGGATCGGTTCCGCCTTCACGCTCTCTTCCACCGCCATCCTTCCGCTGTCCGGCAACATCGCCACGATCTTCGGACGCCAGTGGGCCCTACTCTCCTTTATTTTTCTTTTCGCCGTCGGCAGTGCCGTCACCGGCTCGGCTAGAGACATGCCCTCGATTATTGCGGGTCGGACCGTCCAAGGTTTGGGCGGCGGAGGCATCCTCTCCCTAGCAGAGATCGTCGTTGCGGACCTGGTGCCTCTCCGCGAGCGAGGCGTCTATCTCGGCATCCTTGGTGCTACGTGGTCTCTCGCGAGCGCCATCGGCCCGCCCATTGGAGGTGCGCTTGCGCAAGTCGGACAATGGAGGTGGCTGTTCTACCTCAATCTGCCTCTTTGCGGGATGGCATTCTTTTTGACACTCATTTACCTCAAGCTGAAGAGGCCGCCAGG